ACAAAACTCCCTGATGTATGCATTGCCTCGCATATTTTTGTGGGGAGAACATATCAAATTGACTCTCTTAGTGATTTTTGAGAATACAATGCATTTTTACAAACTATAATCACTATGGCGTACAACAGGTCCCTGAACTTACTCCATCTAACAGAAACTGTGTACCCTGACCCAACATCTGCCCGACTCTGCCCCACATAGCCTGCAGTCACTACCATTCTACTCTCTGCTAAGAGCTCACCTTCTTCAGGTTCCATATATGAGAGACCAAGCCATATCTCTGTCTCTGCGCCCCAGTTTCTCTATCTGAGAGAGCAAATGGTCATGGTGGTAAATAATACCTACATCAGCTAAATGGTCCTGATGGATGGACAGTTCAAACATAATGTATATGAAATACAAAATTCTATACAAACATAAATCTTGTTCTCCCATCCTTTGGTAGATTTCATCATCGTTTCATTATATTAAAATATAGCACGGTTCTATGGATACTGTATTATAATTAGGCACAATTTTTTAAAAGAGCAATGCATTAGGTTCAAGCCAGTCAATAAAGATAGCTTTTATAATCTCAGATAAAATATTTAATGCTGAAGGAGAAATTGTGACTTGACTCTTCATGGATAAACCAGAAAATCATCAGTAACCTCAAAATCTTGTTTTAGTTAAAAGTTTGAAACAGCTCCTCTTCTAAACCTATCAGCAGAAGATGAGCTAGAAATACTAAATAATTCTATGAGGCTCCTTTCCATTGGTCCAGCATTCTCAAGTGGGTACACAACCTCAGCATACAGCTGTCACAACTCTGTCCCCCCTCTACTCCCATCAGACAGATTGGAAGCTACAATCTTCTGGAATATTCACTTATGTAGAAATACTAAGTAATTGGAAGCTTCAGATTGGACACTTCAATCTTCTGGAATATTCACTTATGTAGAAATACTAAGTAATTCTATGAGGCTCCTTTCCATTGGCCCACATTCCCAAGTGGGTACACAACCTCAGCATACAGCTGTCACAACTCTATCCCCCTCTCTACTCCCATCAGACACCCAGGTTCACTTTCAGACTGCTGCCTGTGCAATTTTAGATACACTTGGTTTTTCACTTGCAAGTTCCTAGTCTCAATTATTTGATCTGCTAGTTGACAAGCAGATAAATGCTGCTAAGTAGTTACACACACACACACACACACACACACACACACTCGATACTTGTAATTTCCAAATAGGAAGACACTACAGAGAAAGAACCACCTAATACAGAGCATAGAATCATTTAATATCCAGAGAAATGACTCCACAGTCTGGGGTTATACCTGAATGTGTATTATATTGCAAAAATGAATGCTCAAAATTTTGTAGTGTGGGTAACACATATTTTGACCTATTTTAAGCAAAAATTGTGTCTCTCAATATGGAAGCTTCAATCTTCTGGAATATTCACTTATGTAAACCTTTTCATGCCACATACATTAGATTTACCACTTCTTTCACTTAACATTTCAGCACAGTACAGGTTGTCAACCACCTACAATGTCCAATTTGATACCCTTTTCTAAGTCAGGGAAAAATAATAATAATAAGCTGTGTTCTAGGCAGTACTGCAAAGCTATCTCATCTCTGCTTGTGGCAAGAAGTTTCTAGGTAAATGATTTTTGGTTGTAAGCATTAAGCTCCACAGCTACCCCTGCAGCTATGGCAAAGCAGGGACCAGGCAGCGGATCTGCAGGCTCCAGGGCTATGCTCACCAGATCATGCAGTATCCTGTTGTTCAACCTCAGCTGCTTGGGTCCAGCTGACTTGCCTGCCCAGCAGATGTGGCTGGAGATAGTTACCATTTTCCTGGTCCCTGCAACACCTACTTTTTTCCGTCCTGTTTCATTAGGAAGAGGACATGATCACTCTGCTTCCCTCTCAACCCTCAGCTTTACTCTGCCACCTGCTTTCCTGTTGGGACACTAGGAAACGTCTGCGCCCACACAGCAGGTTCAACCGCTGTTGCCAAGGTTTCTAACGTGCAAAGTATTTGAAAAATCTCTTGTCGGATTCGTGTGATTAGGGTTTTTCCCTGTCATATCAATTTTGGTAAGCCCAAAGAAGGAAAAGGAAAGCTTTTGTAGCATCATCCTCTGGGACCCACGTGTTTATTGTTCCAGTTAATGAAACCACTTCTCTTGGGGGGCAGCCAGGCAGAGGATGCTGGAATAACACCACTGGTCAGATTCTCCACTGTCCTTCCTAGCTGATGTTTGCTTTCCTGGAAGTGTCATGGAAGAGAAAATGTTAGGAGTCATCCTCTCTGTTCTGAGAATGTCCCTCCTGCTTTCATCTCCCTTTTCCTGTGTCCCTGAGGTTGCTTGCCTGTGTTTGCACCTACCCTTTCGTATCTCCATTGCTCTGTGTCTGGTCAGTCACTTCTTCAGCTTCATGCGCAGCCACCTCCTGTGAACGTCCTCAGGCCGTTCCTCACTGCAGAGCCTCCCCATAACTGTGTTCCTCTTCCCTCCTCCACAAACTGCTCCCAGTGATCCTCTCCAAATAGCCTCTAGTAACACCACCTCAGAAGAAATAGGCCTCTCTCCTCCACAAATAAACTGCTCTCAATAACCCTCTACCAACCCCTAAGCCAATAATATCCTATAAGCTACCTCGTTCTAAAATACTGCTTTTCATAACCTTCAACCATTTGCTGTCTTTTTACCCTGGAAGAAATAAACTGCCTTGGGTGTAAAACACATACACACACACATGCACACACACACACAGAGTGAAATGTTCTTGTACCTTTCATCTTCCCTTTTTCCAAAAAAGAAAACTTTCATGAAATATAGGAAGACCCAGTTATGGCTCTCTGATGATTTTTTTTTCCTCCCCAGGGAAATAAGCTGAGGTGAAATACAGTAAGGCATTCCAAGACCAAACACATTCTACTGTTTATTACACATATTACATTCTTAAATAAAAATGCGTCACATAACATTTTTTGCATAGATATCTTACAATATACCAATTTAAAAAAGAATTATGAAACAGACCAGTAACAAAAATAAATTTTTTCTTCATTAATAATTTTGTAACATTAACATACCACCATCATATAATACAAATAATAGTTTTAAATTTTAAGACTTTTGTACAGCAAAAAAACTTGACAAAGTAATATATTTATATATATATATAAAAAGCTTAAAAAAAATAAAATGTCAAAAAAAGGCATAACCGAGGGCTATAAGACTGGGTACTTCTGTGATATATTATAAATACCAGAGAAGGCCTGAGAGAATGTGGCGGGGGAGGGAGTGAGGAGGGGGCTGGGAGTAGGTCTTTCCAAACACACTTGTTAGACACATCTGGCAAAAGGAAAATGTGTAGTGCAAAACAAATGTCTTCAAGCAATGGTTAAGAATAGAGATTGGAAAGGAAAGTCATGGCTGGACGCGGCGAGGAAAGGGGACGGGGAGTGGGGGATGGGTTGCGGAATGGAAGGGGAGGCTTCGAAAACTTTAAACATTTAGTTTTGCCTCTGTGTTAGCAAGGAGATCTTGGCCATAACAGGTGTATTTTTTCCTCCCTGGAATGAAGCAGAAGTGAAAAAATAAGGAAATTAAACTAAGTCTGGGTTTGGATAGGCAATGCATGCTGGGAAGATAAAACATAAATGGTTGAGAACCAGCCGAGAAGTCCCAAAGCCTTCAGGATCTAGACGCACAGAAATCCTTCTGCCTCTAGTCTAAAGGCCTAGGATTTAAATGTCCCCTCTCCCTACCCACTGCCCCTCCCCTCAATGTGGAACTAACTCCCAGTGTGGTTTTGATATACTGGCAATTATAAGCATCCATCCCCCCCAAAAGATATTAGGCACTGGTGGCTACTCCTCCAAAACGTCAGTAGCCTGTTTTCCTTCTGCGAAGGTACAATAGGTACATATGCACACGTGTCTAGGTGCGTGCATACACACCACCCTTATTATTCTGACGTGGGGTCCTTTTTATGGCAGTAGACAGAAGCTGGAGTCAAAGCAATTTACGATTCCAAAGCTCACAGTTGAAAAAAATAGTACAAACAGTCCCCAAACCAAGACCGTATCAACCTTCCCTCATGACCACTGAGAGGAAGCCCTGTTTGAATAGAGAATCTTGTTTGGGATATCGGTGAAGTGATGGCCTAGGATTTCTCTCTAATTTTTGATACCTGTTTCCCGAGGACTTAGATGTGAATGCAGAACACCTGAAGAATACAGTACTATATTGTAGGGATGCAATGCATGGAAGAAAGTTAATTGCAGCTTTGTCTGTCCCATTTCTGGGATCTGTTATAGGAACAAAGAGAGGAAACTTAAGAGAGTGTTAAAAGCAAGAGAAAACCCTGGAGCCTCAGGCAGTTAGTCATGAGATATCACATTATTTACAAATGGTTTTTGCTTCCTTTGATACATTTCAATTGTCCCATCTCAAGTATTTCCAAAGATCCTCCAAGAGGAAAACAGGCCCTCAGGAAGGCATTGATGTATCCTCAGGCCAGGCCCTCTGGTTTGCAAGCTGAGAAATCACCATGTTTACCGAAATTTATTCCAGACACCCAGAATCCAATCCTCCCTTTGGGCCCCCTTCTCCTGCCACTTCCAGAAAATGGGAGGGAAAGCGCCCACAAGTCAACTTCAACCCGGCTCTACTTACTGAATTTCCACTTTAGCAATGTGCGGGGTGCAAATCTGTGGCCAGAAATGCTGGCCCTGCCAGAAATTCTTTAAAAAGGAAGAAAGAAACAAGAAGCCGGATTTTTATAATCCAATGGTTTACTTCTTTCTGAATTTCCCTACTTTCTTCCTTCTCAGAAAAAAAAAAAAAAAAAA